ATGATAGGCAAAAGCTGAAGTCTTGCTGGAAATGTCGCTGGAAAACACACACTGGTTGATGCAAGTTTTCCTAGCTACTGGTACTCTTGATCTCATCTTCTATATAGCCACTATTGACACTAACTTCCAATTTGTAACCACAATGCCAATTGATTTGACTGACAAAAGCATGCTGCTGTTTGGTGATCAAAAGCCAGTGTTTAAACTACAGACGTACATAGCTGCGAGTGGGACTTGCTCTATCTGACTTGTTTTCACTTTTCCGACCTTTGAGTTTGATCAAACCAGTTCCCTTTATCGGTTCTCACTTCGAACAGACCATTTTGGCTCTACTTCAAGAAATTTTTAGTTTCAGTACTGGTAACTAACATTGAATTTTTGCAGGGTGTAGTAAAATAATTTTATTTGATCACACTACCGGCTGTGTTCATAAATGTAATAATGTTTAGATTCGATCATTGGAGATAATTATTTATTGTGTTAAAAAGTTGCTTTTCCAAAGTTTCATTTTATTCAATCAGCCACAGCCACCACCATTACTACATCCATTTTCCTTAGCTACCTTCTTTAATTTGCTTTTCAACTAATTTCATCATTTGATCATTTTGCACCTCATTTTCATCTTTCTTTTCCCGTCTTCAAGAGATTGAGCAGGAAGCCTATAAAAGCTCCAACAGATTTGGGAGAAAAAAGGCATTTTCCCTTAATTGAAGAGAAAAGAGGGTTTTCCTCATGGAGGGAAGCTTTTGCAATGAAAAGCAGAAGATTAAATTTGACAGAGCACATAGGGGCTACCAGAGAGGATAGTCAGGCACACGTCTGATTACCTCTTTGTTTCAAACAGCAGTATCGAGAGATAAAGAGAGGAAATCAACACTAGAGGGAGGCGCTTTGAGGAACCCATGCTCTAGAGATGACAACTTCTCGAAATCAGCTTGTGTTTTCTCTGATCTAAGCTAAAACTGTATAAACAATGGAAAATGATAACCTGAAGCTTCCAGACCTATGTTTGATTCACACACACACATGTATATATCTCATTTTACATCTTTGAAAATCTACCCCCTAGCCATCACGTTCTATTCCAAGTTCTACTCTATAACCTAAAGGTTTGTTGTCCGATTAGGCTAGCAAAGAAGATCATATTTCCAGCTCTTGTCAGTTCTCTGTTTCTAAAAATTTAGTTTCCAAACTCAATCCGTTTTTTTTTTTTTAGTAATTTTGGGAAAGAAGATGATATTTTCCGCTCTTGTCAGTTCTCTGTTTCTAAAAATTTAGTTTCCAAACTCAATCTGTTATAGGATATCTGAATTGAAATAAACAATCATTTTTTAGTACAGATTTCTAATCATAAACATCCTGAAAAAGTATCCAATTATTTTTTCTCTAGTTTACACATACTCTAGGGTGATTATATAGCAAAATTTTGATGATGTCTTGGAGACTGATCATGAACCTGATAGAGGTACCAACTATTTAAGCATTCTAAATTTTTTATATTGCATAAAGAATGATATTCTTGGTTAGATGAGGCTGAAACCTAGTAGTGAATATTTGATCAACTACTTGGTTAGAGCATCTTCGTTCATGATATTTATGATTGTTCTCATTTCTGTGGGGTTTAATGTTATTATCAGATACTCAAAGTCCAGATCAACTAGGCAAATGTGCAAATCAGAGTCGTATTCTACTCGAAGGATGCTTTGAGAGAAAGACAATTTGACAAACGGGTTATACAGGTTTTAGTAAACATTTTGTTGAAAAATGATTTGTTACACTTAATAGATTCTTTCATCTAGAAACCAAAATTCCACTGCTTGGATTTCATGTACTCTACTTCCAAAATTTTCTCGAGCATTTCTTGAGATGAAAAATAGCTATATTTTTACATCGAATCATATGATGTGAAATATTACAGCTTGTTTTCTTGAGATAATGTCTTTCAAAGGGACTTTGCACATTTTTCTGTTTTGTTGCAATCTAATATATGCCAATATGTGGTTTCTTTAGTGTTTCTCTATATATCACCTCCTATATTACTGTCTAGTTCATTTATCCATCCATATAAACTTTTGTTTTTGTACAAATTGGTGTAGAAATATATGGGAGGAAATTAGTGTTCTAAATTGTTTTTTCTGCATTCCCTAGTGCAAACAAGAATGTAGCTAATTCTGTTTATATTTCATTTCTTGAGGGTCAAGTTGATTATGAGGTGATTGAGAGGGGAAGAAACAGCTGCACCGGGGTACATTTTTATTCTGCGGAATATGAGGCTTATAGAATATTACGAGAGTTAGCAGTCAAATCACCCATCAAACTATTCAAACAGTTTATTTGTGTATAAGAACACTACTCCTTGCCAACACTTTCTTAGATACTATACATGGTGTCATGTTTTCATTTCAATCATGTATTAGATTATTCCTTGGATGCATGGAGATACTTTCTGAGCGTAATGAATTAAACATGCCAAAGCAAGCATTAGTAGCATGAAACAAACTGTGATAATGTATTAGATTTTTCTAAAGATTTGATTCCCTCTAGAATTATTTTAATATTTTCCTTATCAAAACATGAGATTTGAGAGTATTGGTGCATTGAATCATCAAACGGCATAGATCATCAACTTGAAAATTTGTGTGTTGAAGAGTAATCTACCAAGATGCGGTGTTAGAATACACTAACTAGTGGCTGCATTTTACTTGTCAAATGACCAAGTGTGGGAATCTCTGCACTCCACACTCTAGACCATTGATAAATCTCTCGAGAGTTAAAAAAAAAAAAAAATGGTGTGCCACGAAAGGGGTAGTGCGGTGCCTCACTTGTACCTGGCGTGTGGCTTGGTACTATTGTAAACGCATCACCTGGCGAGTCTACAAGGGCACCATCCACACTCCACCGGGCTTTTCTTGCGAACTCCATTGATGTGTGCTACCCTAGATCAATTTACTTACAGGTTTTTGAACCTTCTAATTTCTTTTGGAATTAAATGGCCTTCTGATAACAAGATGTATTGATATGTGTTGTTACATAAAGTTTGAACCTATCACGTAATTGGTGTGTGCCTTCTCCGGTGAGAGTGTTTTGTCCTTGCACATCAATGGAAAACTTCTTAAAACATATTTGTTTTATTTAAAGCTAACATATAGTAAGTTAGGAACATGGAGAAAGGAGACCCATTTTTCCTACTTCATAATTACAAATACAAATTATTTCTTAATTACCACCACCTACACATCTAGTAATTATTTGGCCTAATAATATATGTTTGATGGCAGGAAACATGGAAAGATTTGGGATTGATTTAAGATGATGGTTCAGTTTTAGTCACATGAACTTAGAAAATGAAAATGATAGGAAGCAAAAGTTGATGCGGTGAAATCAAGGCAAATGGAGTTAGTAAGGACAAACAGTTGTACTTATATAATAAAACTACACTTGAACTTCAACTTATAAAAATATTTGTCAAACATTTTTACCCAGTTGTGATTTAAAAATTGTAGGATGCAGGACAGCTAGAAATGGGGTGGAAAGAAGAAAAAGAAAAGATTCGGAGAGGTAACGTAAGTAGGCAGTTTTCCATTTGCGGCTAAACTACAAATGCCTACAAAACCTTGTAAAGTCGACAGAAGTGGCAACCTACCAAACTCCCATTTAGCATTGCCCCCATGCAACTTATTATTATTTTATATACATACACATATATATTATATAGGAGACACCGACCAACATCTGGTTCTGCTTTTAGGGCACATGAATTGAGCGTTTTCGCTTTGATTTGCTCGACCTTTAACGTCTCCCTTTTCTGCTTCACCAACCTAATTCTTTATTATATATACATATATCATCCTATTGCCTTCACTTTTGCTTCCTACTAATTATATTTATATATATATATATATTAACAAAATTATGATCCACATTATTTTTTATTTAAAAATATAATAATTTAATATAAGTATTATGATTCTAACAATATACTAATGAATTGAGTTATAAATTTTAGTAAATCAAATATTATAAACCGATCATTATCTGTCTTGTACCAATCTATCGCTTTAAATTTATATTCACAATTATATTTAGTTTCATTCCATCATTAATTTTAATTTCATATTTTCTACATTCTTACTAACAAAAAGATTAATATAAAAATTATAATTATAAGTACAACCTAGTTATCGTAATTAGCAGGAAGTGTTAAGTGCAAGATTAAGTTAAGATCATGTAAATATGAATACAGAGAAACAATGGAGCTCATATTGCTCTATTTTAATATATCTTCTTTTTTTTTTTTTTATATTAACCCCTTTTTATTTTGATAGAGTGATTACTAGGATTGAACTTATTTTTAGGAATTTTTTGTAGAAGGATTACTAGATCAAGGGAATTAGAACTTTAATGATATAAATTTTAAGCAACGAAGAAGCTGGTTTTTGGAAACTTAATTAGAGAGTTAGGCTAACTTGGCGGGTTAATTAAGGCATTATATCTCTCATTTTCTCAACTTCCTTCAACCAATATTTTTTTGTCAGTTGTGGAGGTATTCATTCCTAGATCTCGGTCGTGTTTGTTGGTTAATATTTTATGGCTCGTATAAAGAATATTAAATTATTACCGGTCAATTCTCACACTTTAATAAAAAATGTCTGTCTAAACTAATGACACTCAAGTGATAATTAAGTTCTCTACTTATCTATTTGAATCATTTTTCTCTCAATTATCAAAAGACATGACCTTTTGTGGAAAGATATAAGTTGTCTTATAAATTTTGGGTCAAGTGGAAGATTACTGGAAAAAAATATACAAAAGCTCAAAGAGTTAAAAAGAGAAAACTTGATTGTTTTATGAATTCTATACTCAATTGATCTTTTTTGAAGAGACAATTACCAATCAACACTACCATACTTAAGCAATTTCTCCAAAAAGTAATAATAGAACAATGTATGTTGGCTTTCAATCAAATAGAGTAAAAATATATGATTCAAAGATTCCTTACATATTAAAATTTAAGAAAAACTAAGATTTAATATTTTCTAATGAACGGAAAGTTTCTAACAGCGTTAATAAAACAATAATCATGCATACTACTATCTCTAAGTACTCGAAAAGTCTAGATGTACAGAAATCGGAGGAATTTTGAAAATTAGAATGAAAAAAGTTAGATTAGCACATGGAGAGGTTTCATCTTCTACTTTCTAGAGCTAATTATTCCTATGTCATAAAAGACTATCATTTATGTTGTTGGGAAGCTTTACATCTTGGTGCTCTTTAGTTTTTGTATCCAAGACTCTTCATGTTTCATTAGTACGGTTTACTTTTCATACTAAATATTTTTATAAAATAAAATAAAATAAAATTATAAATCATAAAGATAATTTATGTTATAATAGGTTGATCTTAATCTCTATAGATAATCTCATTCAAATTAAATTAAAGAAGTGGACAAATCTTTAATGAATACTCAAAGACAATACATGTATATATATCTATATATATATAGATAGATAGATATGTATGTACATATGGTATATATAAAAATTTGAAATGTTGGCAATGTATTATCGAGTGCAGAATTCAAGGATTAATGTTTAATTCCTTCTTTCCAAATAGGACGAAGATCAATGCCAATTAATGAGGGACGCCGAAAGGCATATCAGAATAAATGATGAACTGATTAGGAATTTGAAGTAAAAATGTCATACGGACATTATGCACCGCATTGAAGATTAAAATAAAAAAGCCGCTGAAAGGAGAATAAATTCTTAAGTTGTCTCATGATCATCGATAATGTTGCTAGTTCTTTATAGTGTATATATATATATATATATAATATGATTTCTGTATATATACGTTATTCCAATAGAAAGTTTATAATTATAATAATGTATGCATTCTTATAAATCATTTTATATATTAGTGACATTAATTAATACTTCAAATATTTTTGTATTTGTTTTTTATGAAGCTGCTTTGTTATTTTGTATTCATTAGATTTAAATTAATTATATAAATACCGGTAATCGCTGTATGATCAAATATAAATACGAAAATCTTTTTGTAATTTTACACTAATAAAATTTATATTTAATTCTTATTTTAAGTGAAAAATATTTTTAACCATAGAGACCCTTTGGATTCCATTATTTATATATATATATATATATATAGATATATATATTTTACCTTTGTTTCAATATATATATATATATTTTAAAGTTGGAAAGATATTTAAATTACTTAACTTATCCCTTTAATTTCCAACCTTACCTAAATTTCTTTCAATTAGTTCTGGCCTTTAAAATATATTTGAATTATATCCCTTTGTATCATTGCACAGAAACTGAAACGTTCTTTCTAACATGGATCCTTAGAGACTAAGCGATTTCGAAAGGAAGAAGAGACAGACATACATATGCAAACATATGATGTAAGTATCTGTTTTTTTATGCATGTATGTATAGGTATATAAGATATTATATATAGAGGGAGGAAGAAGTTCGACGTTTAAGCCAACCTTGGAGGGGTGTTAGCATCCTCTCATTTAATATAAAAAGAAGGTACTGACGAGGAGAAAGATGGCGAAGTGTCAGTATGTGTAAGCCATGTTGGTTAACGTCAGAGGTAATAAATTATTGCACGGTTTCTTGACCATCCCTTTGTATTTTTCTTCCATTTTATTTTTGTTTTATTATTATTAAAATAATATCAAAATAAAATAATGTCTCTTCCTTTACAGCGACCCAGCTTTCCATGCATGCCTTCACATGCAACCCAAAAACCCTAATCTTCCTTTCCTTCTCCAACTTTCGAACTACTCCTGTCTTTCCTTGTCTATTTTACCATTTTGCCCTAACCCTTTATGCCAAAACCCCATGCACCCTGCCTTAATCAATTAACTTTCTCTCATATTATGTATATGTATACGTATATATATATATATAATTTACTTTACAGAAGAACCTGAAAATACCCTTTTGATACCCATTAATGTTGGTAGCAAACATGGACAAGAAAACGTCTCAAAAAAGTGCTTGATCATGATAAGGACATTGAAACCCTACAAGCAAGCAACAAAAAGTTGAAAACTTTTTCTTTTCTTTTTTGCTTTTCAATATTGAATTTTATATACATATATGCAAACAATGTCACTAATTATGCCAATCATTTGTCTAACTCTCTTCAAAC